GGATACATGTAGAATGATACCCCAAAACACAATTAGCTACTTCTCCCAAGTATGGGGATACCACATGTGTGAGACTTTTTGGGGGCCTAGCCACATACGGGGGCCAAAAACCAATGACCACCTTTAGGCTTTTCAAAGGCTGTAACATCCTCGTGTCACTTCCTCACTAGCTGTCACAGTTTTAGAGGCTCTGAAATGAAAGGTTAGTAGAAACACCCCCCTGTATGTGGCTAGGCTGCCCAAAAGTCTCTCACATGTGAAATCCCCATACTCGGGAGACATAGCAGAATGTGTTTTGGGGTGTAATTCCACATATATTCATGGCATGTGTGAGCAATATCTCATTAACCACTTGCCCTGCAGAGGATTACCCCCCTTCCTGACCAAGCCATTTTTTGCTATAACAATTGCATGGTCATGCAGCAGTGCACCCAAATGAAATGTATGTTGTTTTTTTTTTCCCACAAATAGAGCTTTCTTTTTGTTCTTTTTGATCTCCTGTATGTTTTTTATTTTTTACGCTATAAAAAAAAGGCCGCCAATTTGGAGAAAAACAATATTTGTTACTTTTTGCTATAAAACATATCCAGTGAAAGAATTACGAAAAAAATAACATTTTGTCATAAATTTAGGCCAAAATGTATTCTGCTACATCTTTGCTAAAAAAAAAAATGCCCAATGCATGTAAATTAATTGGTTTACATGAAAGTTATAGCGTCTACAAATGGTGGTATAGATACTGGATTTTTTTTTTTTTTTTAATATATACTAGTGATGGTGGTGATCAGTGACTTATAGTAGGAGTGCGGGACTGTGGCGGGCATTCTGACACTGTGGGGGAACTGACTAACTGTCACTGACATCCCCAGTGACATCAATGCAGTGATCAGTGCTAATAAAAAGCACTGCCACTGTACTAATGACACTGGGCAGGAAGGGGTTAGCATTTGGGGTGATCAAAGGGTTAACTGTGTGCTGTTTTACTGTGTGCTGTGTGTGTTCTTTACACTGTAAGCACACTGCTTTGTATGACTCTGCTATGCAGAGCCATACAAAACAATGTGCAGGAGCTGACAGGGGAGAGATCTGGATTGTTTACATACAGGTCTCTCCCCCGTCGGTGATACACAGCGATCGTCGGGTGCCGGTGGAGAATCACCGTCTCGGACCCATTTCTGTGTGTATGTTCCTTGTCTAAACATTTGCAAGCCTGACACATGATTGACCCCAAGTATTGGCCCCTGCCTCGCCTTGTCTGAGTGCTGCTGTACAGAGGAATACACTCAAGTCAAATTCAGGAAATCATAATTCCATATAACAATACATTTACTGCTTTTTCCTAAACACATAACTGAATTCATTAGTGTTTTATATCTGCCTGGAGTTCAAATTAAGTTTCATTTCTGGTGGTATTCGCTTTCAAGTATTGATCAAGTACTTTCTTTGTATTCTTTGTAATTCATAATTTTCATACAAATGGTTGCTTAAATGCATGGGAGATAATATTGCAAATAACAATAAGGAACATACCTTGTGCTTCATAGAAATTGTTCACGAACCAGTTCTTCTTTTTTGGAAGCCTGTAAATATGCGGATGTAAAGAGTAATAATTCAAGAAACTATAGAGCTGCTATTCGTGTGAGAAGTAGTGAAAATACACATTTTTTTCAGCTAAAATAGTTTTCACCCTTGGCATAATGTGTGCTATTTTTCCATTGCGTCAGCAAGTAGAAATTTTACTGATGACATTTCCTGATGCAGAATTCCTCTTTGCTTCTCAACACTTTATGTTTTCTATTTCAGTGAAAGAATGTAAACACTAAGCAGTTGCCAAGGAACTCAATGTATATCTTTGACATATATGCTTGCATTTGTTGTATATAAGGGTACCATTGCCGACCTCTTGTCCAGACAATGCCACTCTTTTGGTTCATCGGCAGGGAAGTTCTGTCTTGGTTGAGACTTCACTTACTGCAAGATAGGTCAGTGACTGCAAGATAGGTCAGTGACTCCACTGAAAGCAGACCCAGCAAGATAATAGTTTCATCAGGTCTCCAAATGAACCTTTGATACTACTTGTGTTATTAAAGTGGTTGTCCAGCCAAAATTCAAAAAATAAATATCAGCAGCTACAAAAACTGTAGCTGCTGACTTTTAAAAAACAGCCACTCACCTTTCCCAGGATCCATCATACCAGCTGGGTTTACCAGCCATCCTGTGTCCCCGGTGCTGACATCTTCAGTGTGGGCACCTGGCTGTGACAGCTTGCGGCTTCACAGCATGCGCGTGTAGCACTGCTTTTTGTGAATGGTCTTGTAGTCTTCTGGGACCTGTCACTTGTCTCAGAAGACTACAGGGAGGGAGGGGAGGAGGACAGCTTCAGCTTATGATTGCCTAGGCGATCACAGCAGAAGTGGGAGCGGATACCTGTCAAATTCGGGTACCCCACCCCCACCCCCCGCTCCCCAAAGGTGCCAATCATTAATGGGGATCGGGTGATGAGGCCTTAAAGCAAAACTTCCCTTTTGGGTGGAGCTCCACCTTAATAAGAGACAGTAGACACTGCTATCTTGCATGTGGCTATTTATCAAGACTGTTAAAATTTCTGTATACAAGGAAACCACACATATAGGCCAACACTGTGAGGAAGAAGCTTTGAAAATACATTTATAGTAATAATTGCTTTAATTTAAAGGTCAGTTTCATCCAAATGTATAGTTACCAAGAAAAAAAAATCTAGAAACACCTTTTTTTCTGCTGTGTACAGTGCACAGCAAGACATTGTAGACGGAGAATGTTCATTAATTGAGGGGTGGGACATTTATTTTAAATGGGCACAATTCTACAATAGGTATATTGCTATCCTTTTGTTTTAAAATACTGCCCTTTATATATTTTGTGATAATAAAGAAAGAAACAGCCAAGAGGGTTTCGTTCATTAGTAAACCAATTACTGTATTTGCTTTGCTGGGTACACATTTAAGGCAGCCCATAGAAGATGCAAAAGGAATAAAAGGAAAAGAAAATCACTTGATTCCCCATCTAAAAACAGTCAGTGTTAATGGTGCAATGTTTCCCGCAGCACTATTGTGTTTGAGGGGAGGGGGTGCGGGGAGCAGAACACAATGATCAGTACTCGCATGTAAATAAACCCGGCAGCTCAGCTTGGGTACAATCAGCCTGCCCACGTATAATCCATATACCTTAGATTGTACACCCCTTAAGGGTTAGGGACTGATGTGAATATACAATATATGTATGTAAAGTGCTGCGTAAATTGACGGCGCTATATAAGTACCTGAAATAAATAAATAAATAAATATGGCCAGCTTTAGTCTGTTCAGTCAATTTAATATGCAGCCACCCAACAGTTCTTGCAGAGAATACAGTGATAAACCCCAACTGCACTGCAACCATATTTGGCATAAAATATTTAGATAATATCATTTGACACTGATCTTTTTGCTGAGTACTGCCACACCTGTTGTGACTGATGATGGGTTGAAGGTTTTTGTAGGTGTCTAAAATCCTGTGTAATAAAAATGGGTAGGAGGCAATACACAATGGTGAATTCTGAACCAGTAAATGTAACATTTCATTTTGGAGCAGTCACTGGTGAGATGAGTCTTCCACAAGCTTCATGTTCACCAAGGTTCTAGAGAGAGAGAGACCTCCAGAATTCGCCAGATGTCATCCCTCCGGTAAGAGAGTCCCAAGCATTATCAAGAACAAGGAACACTGACATCTACTCCACCTTCGCTATCTTCCTGCATACAGTTGCGGACATTGCACATAGTTATTAGAGGCTGCGGCATAGTTCCTTTAGCTGCTATTGTCTGACTATACTTAGCACAGCCTTATCATCAGAATTGATAGCAGGACAGTGGGTAAACAGGCCAAACCACAGCTGTGCAATCATCATCATCAATTCACTCTGCTAAGGAGGCCTTTTCCCTATTGTGCCAAAAAGTCTTGAAGCCCAAAGAAGTTACCCTGTGCCAACAACCACTTTATATGATTGGCCACTTGTTGCTTTAGATTCTGTTCAGTCAATTTAATATGCAGCCACCCAACAGTTCTTGCAGAGAATACAGTGATAAACACCAACTGCACTGCAACCATATTTGGCATAAAATATTTAGATAATATCATTTGACGCTGATCTTTCTGCTGAGTACTGCCACACCTGTTGTGGCTGATGATGCTGCCTATCAGTGTCCGTCAGCGCCGCCTATCAGTGCAGCCTAACAGTGCCAGCCAGTGCTGCCTATCTGTGCCAGTCAGTGCCACCTATCAGTGCCCCCTATCAGTGCCATATATGAGTGCTGCCTTTCAGTGCCCATCAGTGATGTCTGTCAATGCCCATCAGTGCCACCTACCAGTGCCTCCTCATCAGTGTCCATCAGTGCCACCTATCAGTGTCCATCAGTGTCCTATCAGTGCATCAGTGCAGCCTCATTAGTGCACATCAGTGAAGGAGAAAAATCACTTATTTACAACATTTTATAACAAAATCTAAGAAAAAACTTTCTTTTTTCAAAATTTTCAGTGGTTTGTTTAAGAAAAAATAAAAACCCCAGAGGTGATTAAATACCATCAAAATAAAGCTCTATCTGTCACAAAAAAATGATATGGGTACAGTGTTGCATAACCGCGCAATTGTCATTCAAAGTGCAACAGCGCTGAAAGCTGGAAATTGGCCTGGGCAGGAAGGGGGTATAAGTGCCCTGTAGGCAAGTGGTTAAAGGGTCCATGAAAATGATTATCTGTACTCTACAGAACACATAAGTGTTACTTTAGCAGCACACATGAGAAAAAAAAACAATATTCGAATTGTATCCATACACAACTTCTTTGAAATGGTTACAAAAAAGATAAATGTACTTAAACAAGGTAAATGCAGACTTGAGTAAAGATGAGGAAACATGTAGAAAGAAGGAACACTGTTAGAGAATAGAGGGTAACAGGAACAAGAGTTGTGCAGCTTTCCTTATTCTGCAATGTATGTATATTTGTGCTGTACCTAACCTGTTTCACATTAATGCTTTTAACTTTGCAAGTTACAGTTACTCTATGCCTATTTGGCTGATTATCCATTATGTTAAACTTGTCATCTACTAACAGTATCAACCAGGGGCGGACTGACCATTTGGAAATTCAGGCACTGCCCAAGGGCCCGGGGTCAGTAGGGGGCCCCATGAGATGCCCCTGGTACCTTTTTCTTAGGCTTTTTTGAGTTTGGGCAAGGACACAGGGGCCCCATGATCCCCTATTGCCTGGGGGCCCCATGAGTTGTCAGTCCGCCCCTGGTATCAACCATATCAGACAATGGTGATGGCAGTGGTGCAACAGCAGCACCCAATGGTACTACTCCAGAGGGAAGCATGTGACCTACCTCCTCTGCAATAATGACCCCTAATTCCTGGCAGGATTTCTGCTGCAACAATTACCCAATACCAAGGGCCAGGGCAGAATTTTGATGACTGCAAAGCCTGATGCAATCTGAAGAAACACTTTGTAGATGGACTGCTGTCTGACAAAGTTATAGGAACCTTGCAAGAGAAACTTAGAAGCAACCCCAATTTGAAAAACATAGCCTGTCATAGCATGACTGGAGCAGAGACCTAAAGGATTGGACGCACCCATAGTCATCGTAGGTGGGAAACTGATGGACCCACCTGCAACCAAAATGACATACAGAAACTGACAACAGGGATGACTTGGATCCAGGTAGTTATCTGTGTTGAAGCACAGACAGGAATACTCCTTGAAGGAACAAGAATGTGATGCCCCCTCACAAAGAAGACAAACACCACCTCGAAGGTATCCAAGGCAGGCATAGTCATATACTGGAGCAGTCAAAATTTGTGCCATTGCCTGAGAGACTGCCACATCCATACACAGAGGAAGGTGTTAAACTAGTATGTTCCACTGTCAGGAAAGTGGAAACACAGTTCAAGAACTGAAGAGGTGGTGGTCGATTGTACAATATGTAGATGCTTTGACAGCCAAAAGATCGAGTGCCTTCTTGGTGCAAGCTTACAAGCCACCACCCTACCAGAACCATTGTTCCAGCGATAATACTACAATTTACTAAGTAGAAGATGAGCTTGGATATGCTTTGGATTTAATTGACAGCCACCAATAAGTCATTGGAATTATCAGATGAAAGTGAAGCTGTGGGGGTAGGAACTCATGAATATCATCCAGGGGCTAACAGCTGAGACGGTGAAGGGACGCTCTGCACACTTGGGCCCGCCTAGGGAAATCAGGCATCTGCTGCATGTTCTGGAAGCACTGGAAAGTCCTGTCACATGTCCTTTAAACATCTGGAAAAAAAGATGTTATTGTCAGGGTTCCCTTTGGAACAGAGAATGTGTTACTGCCCAATCAAAAACTCATATTGCCCATGAATGTCAGCTCTCACAATGAATTGGAAGGACTTTGCTATTATCATGGAACCCTTGCCTTCTGAAGTGACTTAATTTGTCGCCAGGGCCCTTATAGAGGTCTGGAAAGATACTTACTATTAACATAAGTACAAGTTAGAACCTGTAAAGCCTAGACTCTTCTACTCTACCTGCCTCCTGGGACAGCAGTGGAAAAACTAGCCCTAATCATAGATTTGATTTCATCCAAGGTGGGGCACAAATAGCTCCAAGAGTTTCATGGTCATCGCTACATGGCAAAAGTGAATATGATTCAGTGGTTGGCAGAAAAAAGCAGTGAGCAGGCAAGAAAATATTACCATTCTTGTAAGTGAACTCTAAAGAAGTGACACCCAGTCAATTGAAAGCAGTAGGGTGAGTAGTACATAAGTGGTTAGAATGTGTTCTCCTAGGGGGGTCATGACCTGGGCTGCGGCAATGGGACTGAATATGAGATACCCATAGGAAGGAGCCCTCCCATCAGGGAGCGATATCAAAGCTTACCTCCACACCTCTACCAAGAAATCAAACAGATGCTAGAATAGATGATGCAAAAAGGGGTGATCAAAGAGAGTAAGAGCTGAATTTGGTGCTCTGGAGTCAGTTTGTATTCTTGCATTATCACCTTAGGAAGAGCAACAAGGCAGCAGTAAATTCTTTGATGGGTTGCTTACCCTACCATTAAATGTTTGTCTGTCTCTTGGGGTTCCCATATATCAATGGGCCATAGGGCCCACATAAAAACTTGGGCACACTCTGACTGCTTAGATTTGAGAGTGAAAACAATGTCTGTCTGAAGTCCCAGTGTCTATAAAAGAACAGTCATGGGTGGAGAAGAGTTGGAAGTATCAGACTTTGACCTCCAACCTGGGCACCGAGTGCAAGTCCAATGTAAAGAAACACACCCGCAAAGAAAATTGCCAACACTGAGGGAAGAAGTCCTTGAAGCTGTCTTATAAAAAACCCATTATGCACTTCCTGGTTTTGGGTGTCAACACTCACTCACTGTGCTGTATCTATGGAAGATCAACATTGTCACCCTAATATAGCAAGTGTGTTATGACTAGGACAATAAGTGATTTATGACTCATCTACGTAACACAGAGTGGAGGTATGCAGTTGTTCAAAGAGAGAGCAAGGAACAGTCCTGCTTACAGTCAGCACAGGCAGAAAGAGCATAAAATTATGAGATCTCAAGATTTCTGGCAGGATCAAATTATATTTTTTGCACTTATCAAACAGACATAAAAAAAATCTTTCCAATGTTTACCTTACAGACCATGGGTGAGCAAATAAGAAAAGGTGATTATTAGAGTTTACATAATCTTTAAAAATAGCTTTGTGGAAGGAGCAAAGAACAAAAAATGTAAACCAATGTCACTTGGAGTTTCAAATTACTCTTATTCCCATAAAATAAATATACTAGTTTGGGATGGGGTAAGAACAATTCTAAGCAAAAGGATATGGTATATAGGAAATATATCAACTTTGATTACTGTACTACTGGCACAGGTGAATGGAGGTCAGAAGAGGAGTTTAAATTTTGCAGAGAACATGCAGGAATTAGCCAAGGGAATGTAGTGATGGCCAAGAACAGTGCAGGGCGAGAAGGTGGGAACATGAAGCAGTGAGGGGAAAACCGTGAAAGAGACAGTATAGATTAGGGTTTCTCAGCTGGAGTTATTTACAACAAGGACCATCATAGCCATGCATATATACAGAGAGATACTGGTAAGTACCACAAAGTACATGTCTTTTTCCTATATATGTTCTTTTGCAGGTAACCTGGAGGCCCCGTGGCTCAAACACACATTATGCAAAAACTTACTCAGTTCCCAAGTTCTTTGGCATGTACTTGACATTGCACATTAAATGTAGGTGCCTCGGCCACTTATACAGTGTTGCATGCATTCCTCCCAATGGTCCCAGATTGTGCTGGACTGTCCCACATTTTCACCATAGTCCTAAAGACCTGTGTATAGAAGCTTTGTCTCACAAATGCATTGCCCCTGCTATAGGTTGCCCACAAATTGTTGTGTTATTTCCATATGAATGTACCACTGTTTTGTGTATACAGTACATGAGCTAGTGATGGGACTTGCATATTCATGAGATGCTGAGGCTCTCCTCAGCTCTGGTTACATCAAACAGCTGACAAGAGGACTTCCCACTGATTTTTTATCTCCGCAAACGTGCAACTATAACGAAAAACCCTTAAGTGTTCACAAAAAAAGTGCAAGTGCAAAACACCACACGAAAAAGTGCACTTAGGGGTGTGCTTTGTCCTTCCCCTGAAGGGGATGGACCAGTACCCTGATCCCCCGGGGCACGAAGCTCCTGACAGGGACAAGGTTCCCATTTGGTCCTCCTGGCAAAAAGGCCTGGTGGACCACCGTTCCTTGTGTCCAGCCGAAGCCGGACACCCAGTACTTGGTCAGGGGGCTCTCCCAAAGAGAAAACCCCCTAGGCACAGGGGAGGAAGGAACCAAAAGGCCACACATCCTCCCCCTAGACTTCAGGGCAGGCCCAAGGACCCACACCCTCCATCCTGTGAGAAAAACACACACATAAGTAAAGAAAAAGTGACAACAAATCAGGAGGAACTGGGTCCTTCCAGTCTCCTCGGGGGAATTACTCCCAGGCCCCACTGATGCTGCATGTGAGGTCTGCATTGCATCTGTTGAGTTTAAGGTGGTGTGGGGAAAGGGTCTGTATTCTTTACTGTTGCAGAGAGTGGGTGGGGGCTCTGTACTAAAGGGTTTGGCTGAAAGGGGGTCTGGATTGAGGGTGTGTGGGCTGGGATTGGTTCTGAAATGGGGGGCTAATGAAGGGGTGGGGGAAAGCTGGGAGTGGAGTCTGTGCTGAGGGTGATTTAAGATTGTGAGGGAAAATATGTTCTAGGTGGGGCATTGGGGCTGTTGGGGGAGATCTGTACAGTTGGGAATAAGGTTTTGGGGGATAATTTTTCATTGAAATCTGTACACTAGCCTACTACTTCTCACCCCTGCAACCTCTCAATTATTTACTTCTGACCCCTGTTCAGTCAAGTGCATGGCCATGCCTGAAGATCTGTTTGTACACATAGTGCAACTCTTGGTCCAATATGTAGAATAAAGGTTTTGCATGCATCCATACGTGAATTGGTATGCACCTTCAGCACTGGATTTTGGCCTCCGGAACCCTAATATTTGAACACTGTTCATCTAAAGAGAATTGCTGAGTGGTTGTCAACTCCTGTGACTTGGGACTAGACCAGCATCCTGTTATCCGGTGTTTGCCCTGGCTTACCTTCTGATTCTGCTATATCCTGGTCTCCTGTTGCTGATCTTTGCTTGTGTTGTGACTTCATCCAATTCATGCTGGTTTAGTACCTCTGGTGCTCTTCTGATATTCGGGCAGCCTGGCTTCCGATCTTCCTCTTATTTGCTGATTTGGTATCTCTGCTTCCCAGCTGTTGTTGACTCTGGCTCTTCTTGACTACTGCTTAGCGCTCCATGTGTGATCCAGCATTCTGCACCAGTTCCAGTATGAGCATCTACAGCATTTCAACAGTACTCAGAATAACATTTGTTCACCTACTGTGTCCGGACCTACTCCAGGCACCTGTGTCACTCCTTGCCCTGCTACACGCTGTCATGAGTTTTGGGGGGAGGTGTAAGGGAAGCCCTCTCCTTAACTTGG